CAAAAGGGGGATGGAGGCTACTATTCTGTATGCCTCTGGTTCTACAATTCTCCCAACAACGTCTTCTTATCACTACTGAAACAAACAGTCATAAAGACACTGGCAGCATCCATCAGTCCTGAGGAGATATCAGGTGCCCTGCATGTGCCATTCAAGGACTCCCAGATAGAACCAAACAAAGACCCTTAAAAGTATTTTGCATATGAAAAAGCCTACATGCCCTGGGAGGGGATGTGTGGCTGGCTGGAGATGTGTCTCAAATAGGCAACCGGCCTGGCTCTGAATCCTCTGAACTCAGCCTCAGGGGGAATACTGAAAGACCAGCGGATTCAATGAGAAGCAGACACCACTGTCATGTTTTCTTTAAAAAATCCATGGATGGTCAAAAGGTTCTTACCTAGTGGTTATAAGATTTTAAGTCTTAAGCCATAATGTACAGACTATACTATACATTGCTGTGCCATGTGGCACTAATGTGGTCTGAACTGGTGGCTAATCCTCATGAATAATGAATGCTAATATAGGTATATGGTCAAAGCAACACTGCTCATTATCTTCATCACACCCCCAGGCCACTTAGCCCGTACCTCAGTCACACTGAGCCCGTATAGACATTTATAAGTTGCTACTGGAGAACCCAGCTGCACAAATGACAGAAGATTGGTGCCCGAGTTGGTCAAGATGGCGGCCCAAGTGTTATTGTGCTCTTCTGTGTCATTATAGTCTGCACTCTGTCTGATTGGGCTCTTGAAGGATGATTACTCTGCATGAATATCGGGATATTTCTGTTCACATCAATGTGGCTACATTTGTGGTATCCGGCTTCATTATCATGTCAAACCTTTTTTGCACCAATTGCACAAAAACACACTTACACACATCCATCCAATATCCATATACTGCTTTCAAGGCTTTTAGAAACATGGTGCACTCTGATTATCATCTAAAATAAGCAGCACTTGCTCATCTGATTTGAAGCCTCCTTTTTGTGGCATCATGCCTCATTGTCTCCTTATACACTTTACTTGGAATATGAGGATCATTGTCTCAAACACACAGAAGCTTGTTTTGAGTTTTAGGGTATCAAATACACTGTGCCAAGCTGGATTTTTATTATATTATGTCTAGAACTACTGTATGTTGAAAATAATTTTTAAGGAAGTTATGGGAGCATCACCATCTCAGTACAGTTGTGTACAGTTATATGTACAGCTATATGATGATATTTTCAATGATCTTGACAACTAAATGATTAAATCTCAATAAAAGAACTGCAAATCTAGGCTAGTTCTGGCAATTAGTCTTTAAGTAGAAGACAATGTTTATGGAGCATGATTAAGTCATACACATTATGAGAATTAATGCTTCCTGATTACTGAGGAGGATGAAGTGTTAATTCTCTAATCAGTATGTATAGCATATGTTGGCTGCGTGTATTGTAATGAGACCTAGATCCAGACATCTGGCAGTGTGGCATTAATGTCCGGCTGATTAAAATACACCCTAAAATGTAAAAGAGTAAATGCCTTAAATTACTGACTATGGTTGGATGCAGTCACCATGGAAATACAATGAACGCTGAAACCAAACAGTGAAATTGGTTACCATGGCAGCCAGCCATCACGCCTTGAGCAGCCCCTCATTCGAAAGTCCTTTGTACTGACAAAGTATTTTTAGTGAAAGCTAAATACAAATAAAAGAGCTTCATTCCACAATAAAACTAAAGTAGTGACCAAGAGCTGCTCTGGAGTCAATCAAAGGATTACTGACTGTATTCTTTTTGTAATGGTCACATATCTTCTTGAGAAGTTTCACCTGCTGATAGAGAGCAAGCAACTTTTTTTAATCTAACACTTAATATTTCATTATAAGTCATCAATGTGATTTTTGCTGTAACATGCTCTGTGTTGTTCTGTTCTAAGATATCAGTGGGATAAGAAGCATACTGCAAATATGTTTTAACAGGGGGAATAAAACTATTGGTTTTGTTTATCTGTGCAGCCTAAACACCCAAAATAATAATGATTTTTTTGATGTTAATAGTTCAAAATGTGATCTTCTTATACTGTAGGTGCATCTCCTGACAGGCTACCTCCAGATGTGAACCTGTGCTCTCCGAACCCGTGCCAAAACAGGGCGATATGCAGAAGTAGCAAGGACAGCTACGCATGCTTCTGTGTGCCGGGTTTCCAGGGTTCTCACTGTCAGATTGATGTGAATGAGTGTGTTTCACAGCCCTGCAGGAACGGAGCCACCTGTGTGGATGCAGTGGGCAGGTTCTCCTGTCTGTGTTCTCCTATGTTCACGGGTGAGTAGGAAGAACTGTGCATGGACATTTCTTTAGATAGTAACATGTTATCCTTTTTGTATACTACTGTTATATATGACTTAAGCCTCTGTTATGTTTAGCAATGTTACAAATAAGTAACTAAAGCTACCCAAAGCTTTACTGCTGAAAGCTCTATGAGGCTGCAGCATTATGACACAAAAGTAATCAATGAGTTTTTAAATTGTTGATGCAAATAGTTAGGCCCCAAAAATAGAATCTTTTCACGTGTATTATTTCATGCTGAACTTTAATTCTCATGATCTTCCACCATTTTGCATTAAGATAATATGTAGATTCTTTAAAGTACCAGTGCAGGGATTCATTGTAGGAGGCACTGTACATACTGTAATGTTTTTAGGTTTGTCTGTTTTAGAGTAGCAAACATCTGCAGGTCCTTGCTGTGAGATAAAAGTGCAGCCAACACATGATCACAGCCAGTCCACATAAAAGCTTTGTTCATTTTTGCCCTCTGCCCTCGCTCTATGCTGCATGCTCACTCGCTCTCTGACATCTGTTTTGCTTTGATGTTCACAGGGCCTACTTGTGAGGTCCAGATTGATGAGTGTCAATCACAGCCTTGTCTCAGTGGCGGCAGTTGCCATGGCTACACTGGTGGGTTCACTTGCACCTGCCTGCCAGGTTTCCAAGGACACCGGTGCGAAATTGATGTTGATGAGTGCCAAGAGCAGCGATGCCAGAATGGGGCTCTGTGTATAGATGGAGTGAATGAGTAAGTAGCCCAGCCCCAGTTGGAGAAAAGAAGTAGCTCTTGCCAAGTTTAGGCAAGTTGAACTCTTAAATATAACACATACTGATACATTTTAGTTTTACATATATGAGCACAAACTGTGGAGATGCTGCAAATAATCTCATTTATTTGATTTCTAATCTTAATCTTCATACTGTTTAATCGTCTCAGATATAGCTGTGACTGCTCTCACACAGCCTTCACTGGCAGACACTGTGAGACACCACTACCATCATGCCACTCTGAACCATGCTTCAACAGCGCCATCTGTAGGGACAACCGGGGTAACTACACTTGTGAGTGCTGGCCAGGTAAATGAACCACTGAGTTACAACTTTTGGCATTTTAATGAAACATGAAATATAGCTGCAAACAAAGAATAAGACAATGCTATGAAAATGAGATACAACAGTGGGCAAAACAGAAGTATACTTCAAGTAAATCATAATCAAATATTTGGTGCCATGTAGATGAATTTACATTTGTATACCCACTGTGGTATCATGACATTCATACTCAGTGTGTTTACAGCTGTCTATGTGCAAGTAGTGAATACATCCAAAACACTAATAATACATTTGAATCAAAAGTAAAATCTCGTCTGGGCCGGGTTATGGTGTTTTAAACTAAAACAGTATGTTTTGAATCACATTACCTAATCTAAATAAGGTTTCATAATCTTGTGCATTATTCCCATCTGAAACATTGTCTGCTTCCTCATCCCACAGGGTTTGAAGGGCATCAATGTGAGCTAGACATCAATGAGTGCATCAGCAGCCCCTGCATGCACGGAGGCCACTGCATTGAGAGGTCATGGCAGGCCCTGTATGGCAGTGAACCTCTGCTGCCTGAATACTATGACCACCAGCATGCTGCAGGGTACATCTGCAGCTGTCCTCCAGGAACAGCAGGTCATTTATTCTGATTAACCAAACTGAATTAATTATGTGTTATGCAAGTCCCTAATTGCTGTACAGCAGCAGGTATTCTCCAGTGCATTCCATAGTATGTAGGGACCTGTGTACAGTATAGTGAGCTAATGGAAGAGGACAAGTGTAAGGCTGATTAGTGAAAACTACTGGCCATCGGTCACTGCTGTTGGGAGCCTTATTGCACAGATCATAGAACTCCCAGGACAGCTCCATCACCACTTTGGACAGTGACTGTGGCAGAAGACAGTTGGCAAAGACAGATGTGAAGTCTGTTGATGAATTGTCCTCTCTGATAGCACTAGCAATCAGGTTTGACATTTTCATTATTTTAGCACCCCTCAGTGGTAGTACAAAGAAGACCGCTCCTAAGCTGAACCATTTTTTGGACTGTATTGTTCCGTCTTTTAATAACAAAAATCTAAGCAATCACAATAATATGAAAGATTCTATAACCAGACAACTGATGTATACTATGTGTAGTAGCTTTGAGTCTCATTGTTATGCTGTTTCCATTTATGTTATGTTGTTGATGTTACATCAAATTATACTTTTCAGTTGCAAATATGGAAAATTCTGGGTCTTTTGCTTACACAAAATCCGATCTAGCAATGCAGGTAAGATTGTGAGCTGTTCCTGCACTGACTCAGTAAGGTAGCCAAATAGCATTAGTTTAATCCCTGGGATCTGGCTTTGTTGGTCTCCTTACTGAAGCTATTCAGCCCTACAGTATGTGGTTGTAGAGAAGCAGACAAGGCACAGACCTTCACTGGGGTGGGCTGTACACATGAAAATTGATATGGTGCAGTTGGACGAGTTTGGGGTTTATCTGGAGGAAAAAGTGACAGCATGATGTGGACAACATGGATCTGGGGAATTCTGTTGCTTGGAGCAGGTAACATCAAACCACATCTTTATATAAATAGATATTTACTATAGGTTTTACATAATAGGCAATGGATTTTACTTTTTCTTCATTCAATATGAAGCAGATAAATAACTTCAGTGTGCTGTGTTGTACTACAAAACTTGTAGGTGTTCCATATGACAAAATGTTTACTCAATGCATTTGTGTTAGATTTGAAGTCTCCAGTGTTTTCCTGCACTAGCAGTCATTATGCAACTGGTCCACGTAACAACCCAGCATGAGTGTATGAATGTGACCTGTTACTCACAGCAGGGAAGTCATTTTGCTTATAAAAATACTACTGAACAAAGAATAATGTCAGAACTTCCTTTTGATAAAGCACAATGATCATGCCACAGTACAAAATTTGCATCTGCACTCATGTTTAGAATTTGTATGTCTGAACTTCTCATGCTGACAGGTTCCCTTTGCCAGGAGGTGATAGACCAGTGCGACTCTAGACCCTGCCAGAATAAGGGCAGGTGTGAGAGCCATGTCGGAGGCTACATTTGCCACTGTCTCAGATGGAGTCAAGATGGAAATCTCTATGGAGGTGTAAACTGTGAGGTGAAGCTGGTGGGCTGCGAGGGTCATGAATGCCAGAACCAAGGCTCCTGTTCTCCTTTCCTGTTGAATGGGACTCACGGTTACACCTGCTCCTGCTCACCTGGGTACACTGGACCCCTCTGTAAGACTTCCACCACATTTTCCTTTGAACATAGGGGCTACCTGCTACTTCAGAGCCCCCTGGTGGATACTGAGGTCTCTTGCAACATCACCCTCAGCTTCAAGACTGTTCTGCCCAGAGCAGCGTTATTCCAGCGGAACACCACGGGGCTACTGCTAAACCTGGAGCTGGAGGGAGGACGGCTTCGTCTCACGCTAAGGATGGACTCCTCAGCTGGAACTGAAGCAGAGAGCCCAAGTCAGGTTTTGGAGATTCCATGCAATGTCACAGATGGAGAATGGCATTCTGTAGAGGCTGTGCTTGGAAACTGGGTGCTCAGCCTGAAACTCTTGGATAATGCTAGGAGATATGGGAGCCAGCCCTGCTACAAGGTGGCCCAAGTCCAAAGCACCATGGCCGGGCTGGTTTTGCGTCCTCAGAACACTTATATCGGAGGAGTGCCTGAGGAATCAAATGGTTCCAGCAAGTACGCTCCACTTCCAGCATTCATTGGCTGCATGCGGGATGTGTTTGTGGACTGGCAGCTCATTGTCCCTGAGGAATGGCTGAAAGATTCTGTTGTTAATGTGTCCCCTGGCTGCAGCCACAGGGACCGCTGCCTGGACGTGCCGTGCCAAAACAGAGGGCAATGTGTCAACCTGTGGCAGAGCTACGGGTGCTGGTGTCCAAGGCCTTATGAGGGGCAGGACTGCGAGAAGGGTATGTTTCCAGCTTTGAAATAACCTTCAGCAGATGGGGAAACTGGAAAGACAAATAGCAGTGACACAGTGTAACAGTTGGGATTAGATTTTGATTTTCTATATCTACTAGTACCATCAAACTGAGATTTTTGACAAAACAAAAACAAAACAAATAAGCAAAAAAAGTAAGGAAAAGTTTGGTGTAACTAATCTCCAAAATGAGATTCGCCTTTAAGCTTTAAAATGACCAGATTAAATGACAATGGAAGAAATAGTACTAGCTGCTGATGTGTAACATAAGATAAGGGAGCAGAGATGAGGCCAATCAAAAGCCACAGCAAAAGACAGAGGCAGAGATCCTCTTACGTATCTCACGCACTGGATTAAGGATATAAGGGGATTCTACTTTGGAAATATAAAGTATATGCAAGAACACTGCACAACATTCAGTAAACTGTGGAAAACTATGATCAGTACTTTAGATACATTGAATGAAAAGGTGACATGATTTGCTGAAGCCTCAATTGAAAATACTGAACAGTTTAGATTTAGATCTATCACAATTCCTTTTATTACTAAATGTTTAGTTTCTATGCTCAGCACATGAAAAGAAAGATAACTGTACACCCCGGCACTGAAAGTAAAATTAGAGGCAAAAACGGAATGAAAAATATTAAAAGAGCATTAAGAACACCATTCAGTTGTACATGGTGGACACTGACACACACCAGATGCACACAACTTTCTCACATTCTTTCTTTTTGCCTTTGGTTGAGTAGTGTTTTTTTCTGCCTTTGGGTTTTCACTACAACTAAGTAGACCTGATACAATCCTTTTGATGCTCAGTAATTAATCTCATAACATACTGTATGAGCCAATTTGAAACTGATGCTTTCCTGACACTCAGTCCCCTTTAACTTGACGAAACATTTTACTGACCTATCTTGATCATCCTTTTTGCAGAACATGTGACTGCGCGATTTGGGAATGAGGACTCTCACAGTTATGCTGCATTCACTGTCACCGATGATCTGGGTCACAACCTCTCCATCTCCCTTTTCTTGCGTACACGGAGAAACAGTGGACTTATCCTGGCGCTCGCCAACAGCAGCAGCCAGTACTTGCACATGTGGCTTGAGAATGGCAAAGTCACAGTTCAGCTCCATAACACTGAGAGGCTGAAGTCAGAGAGTACAGTTGACGATGGGGAAGTCCACTTTGTGAGTGTAGAGGTGATGGAGGATCATATGATGCTGTATGCATCAGGTCAGAAACAGGGTGATGTCATGGTCAGGATGGTTAATGTCCAAGCAGGAAATACTGTGTTTGTGGGAGGTCTGTTGAACAGGAGGACAACATCAGTGTTTGGTGGATATTTCAAAGGCTGTGTCCAGGACCTGAGGATCAACATAAACAGGTTGCAGTTCTTTGGGCTGGACACCTCAGTGAGATCTTATCCCCTAGAGCTCATGGAGAACGTGACTGCTGGGTGCTCAGGGGACAATGCCTGCAGCGTGAGTGAAATACAAATTTACAAAATGTTGGTGTCCTTTTATAAGTTTTGTTAACCTTTTATTTTTAGGCTTTATTCCCACTGACAGGGTCTTTGAAAGCATTCACATATATCTGTATCAATTTCTCATCCTTAAGAGCAACCCGTGTCTCAATGGGGGGATGTGCTACTCCACGTGGGATGACTTCACCTGCAGCTGCCCCTCCAGCACAGCAGGGCGGCGCTGTGAGGAGGTCAGGTGGTGTGAGCTGTCACCTTGTCCCACAGACTCAGAGTGCAGGATGCTAAAGGGGGGATATGAATGTAAGTAAAGTCCAAATGAATCAGTCTGAAGTCTTTCAGAATAAGTTTTAAGTCAAGTCTCAAGCCCTTGTGAACAAGTAAGGTCACAAACCTTTATCGGTAAATCAGAAGTACATATATCATGTGCAGCTACATGCCTGCCTGACACCGTCTAATGTATTTGTCATTGTTCTGGGATTTTACCAGGCCAACACTTAAAAAATGAATGCTTTCAAGTCTCAAGTGTGTTGGCAATTATAGATTTAATTAAGGTACCTTAAAGCACTCAAATACACATCAAGCCCGAAGTGCTCATTTTTGTAACTTCACTGTGACTCATGTCAAAGCTCAGATCCACAGCTCTGGTATTGGTCTGAGGACTGCTGTGCTTTTTTTGTTGCTGAGATTAGTGATGATTTGGTTTTTCGCTTGTCTGTCCTGTAAGTCACGTCATGTTCAGTGATTAACTCACTGAGGAATAATCACCTGCTCCTTACAGATACATCCTATGAATGACCTCATGTAGCTACCTAAAAGGATTTTAACGTTATCAGACAGGGAAATGCCTTGTTGTATGCTTCTGACATACAAAATAATTCTAGTTACCATCTCCTCCGTGTCTGGGAGCAAATATGACATTTGCATGTAATATGAGCTTTAGTTGGCTCCCTCCCCTTCAGTCAGTCAGGCACATCATAATGATCTAATATGAAGGGCAATGCCCATGGGTTTGTTCCAATATTGGTAAAGACATGTCCCTGCCATCCATTTGCAAAACTACACCCTTAGCCTGTTGTCACTCTGATCTTTAAATTAGAAACAGGCACTCTTGTCTCCTCCCCTCATTGTATTCTGGAGCATAGTGCCAGTGGATACTCACAAAGTACAGTAGCAGTCAACTGACAAAGGATGTTTCAATGGCACTAAGTTAAACATGTAAATGTGTAAACAAATGTACATGGCAAATATTTTCTCTTAATCTCCTAGGCTACTCCAATGCAACTTTCCTGAATGGCAGCACTGTGTTATCCTATCGGGGAAATGGCCACATATCCCGCAACCTAACTAACCTCTCCCTAAACCTGCGCACACGGAAGCGTAATGCAGCTATTCTACATGCAAGGAAGGACTCGGCGTTCATCACGCTCTCTGTCCAGAACGGTTTCCTCTTCATGGAGCTTCAGGGCATCACTTTAAATTACAGTGAGGATGAGGGGCATGGCATAACATCCACGTGTTCATGGTAATGCCATGGGCACAATCGTCCCAGTGGATTTTAGTGCTGGACAATGAAATAGAGGAGGCAAGCATTTCCAGGAGTCGAGGAGGCAACCTGGATTTCCTCAGGCAGGGGGTGGACATCCTCCTGGGGGGCCTGAACCCTGATGGCAGCTGGTCCCTAGCTGGCTGTCTGAGCACTGTGGAGCTGGGCGGCATTGCCCTGCCTTACTTCACTTCCTCTGATGTGAACTTTCCACGTCTGCAGGAGGAGCAGTTTATCCAGACATCATCGCATAAACCATTTCCTGGCTGCAGTGGGGCCTCCGTGTGTGAGCCCAACCCCTGCCTGAATGGAGGCGAGTGCCAGGACCTCTTCGACACCCACAACTGCACCTGTGCTGAGGGTTGGGCCGGGCAACGCTGTGATTTCCTCATCAACACCTGTGCTTCCGCTCCCTGTGTCCATGGCAGCTGCAGTGTGAATGGACTTACCTACAAGTGCACCTGTGAGTTTGGCTACGCGGGTGTGGACTGTGAGGAGGAGGTGGATACGTGTGAAAACCACCTGTGTGCCCATGGAGGCACCTGTCTGCATGGGCCGGACAGGTATGGCTGCCTCTGCCTGGAGAACTACACCGGACCCTTCTGCAAGTAAGTTCACATGTTTTCCAGATAAAAAAAAAATCCACAACAATAAAACAGATTAAAATAACAAGGAATAATCACTGACTATTCTATGCTAAAAACAGACTAGCAACAAAAGAGGAAACAATCCCAAAAATAACATTATCTCCAAAGATGACTTTGTGCTTAGGGCTAAGTTAGTAAACACACAATACACAAATAATTGTTCCAAAATTGCACAGAAAAGGGAACGCACCACAGCACACCTGAAGTCTTCACTGTAAATGTCTCCATGTGTTTGCCTCTGTTCAGCATTTCAACTATGCCTGCAGTGAGCGTCTCAGAAGTTGCATTTCTATTCTAGTGTCAGCCAGAAACGGCCTCAGTTTGCCTTGGTGTCTCACTACACAAGGCTCTCTGGTTCAGCACCAGTTTCTTCCCCGTCATCTACCGTTTGCCTTGGAGAACCATCACGGGAACGCCTCTAACCATTTATCCTGTAAACACGCGGCCTCTTGCATTTCGCATCTTTTGCACAAGGAAACTCTTTACAAGTGTCTCCCTAAGCAAACCACCAGACAAGCTACACACATCCTTTTACAGGGAACATCTACGCTGTAAAGTTTTTATCAAAATGATGTCTTTTTGTCTCTGTCTTGTTTTTGTCTCTTTATACTCCCTCTCCCTATCTTTATTTCTGTTCCTCCCCAGTGAACGCGTTGAAGAAATACCGTGGTACATTGTTGTCAGAAATGTGTAAGTAGTTTTTTTTTTCTATTTCTGAGGTGTGCTCAGGTGCTGGCTTCCTGTTAGATATTTGTCTCTCAAATATCACGTATGATGTCTGTTTTTTTTCTTGTTCAATAGTGTGCTACAAAATGCCAAGCAAAGCTAATGCTAATCTTCTCTCTGACACTGTTTGTTTTAAAATAAGATATCTTTCAAATGAGTGACATTTGTAGTTCAAAATCAGTCCTGGCATCTAAATTACAACTTCATCTACCAAAACTGTAGCTTTCCCCAAAATAAAAATAAAAAGCCTGTGTTTTGTAACCATTGAGAGATGAATAGTTATATTATTGCAATTTTGGAACCGAACTGCTGTGCTTCAAGCAAATACAAGACTATAGAGCCCAAAATTGTTAGAAATGGTCAGCTTGTTGATTCTTGTACATGTGATTTGACATCCTGCTGGTCAGTAGTTGCCAGAGATTTTAAATTTTATTGTCCCGGTCCTCTCCCAAACCTTTTGTCTCCCCTGTGAAGAATAGAAAAACACAGCTTCTGTTTGCCCGCATCTCCCGGTTCTAGCAGACGTCAACCCGTGTTGCACACGGCCTGATGAACCTCTCACTGCCTCTGATGCTATGGCTGCAAATAAAGTACAAATAAAATAGGCATTTCCCTTCTTACATGTCTGTCCACCTCTACCAGCCAGCCCAGGCTGCCCGTTTCAGTGTGCGGTGATGACACCAGAAACTACACCTGCTTTAATGGAGGCAACTGCACTGACCGAGAGCTTTCCTGTGACTGTCCACCAGGCTTCACTGGACACCGGTAGGAAAGAGAACTGTGATAAGAGCAAATGTAGTGGTGTAATGTGATCCTGCAATTTCTCTGTGGAGTTTCATGCAGAGCACTGAAGTAGAGCTCGCTTTAGCTGATTAGCTTCAGCTGCTTCAATCAATGCTTTACAGTTGCTGGCTCCTTCATTCAGTCACCAACTGTGTGGCTATCAGCTGACTAGCAATGCCCAGTCATATTCATGCAGGTATACAGCCATTATATCCTGACGTTTGTCACTTTGCTGCCTCAGCTTCCTCTACCACCCTAACCTTCTCATTATAGCTATCATTTTTTAAATTAATAACTAAGATTTAATGTTTTTGGGGGCTGGGGGCTCACACAGCAGAGCTCAGATTATTTGAGAGCTCCATTAAAGAGCAGAACCTATGCCACCAAATCCAACCATGCAGCCATTTGAACACATTCTTGACACAAATGTCTCCGACTGACCTGCAATTCTGTGTCTGCAGCTGTGAGCAGGAGGTGGATGAGTGCAAGTCCAACCCCTGTCTGAATGGAGGCTACTGCCGCAACCTCATCAACAAGTTTGTTTGTGTGTGCGACATGAGCTACGCTGGAGAAATGTGCCAGATTGATGTAAGCGACATTTATTTTTATGTGGCAGCACTGTTGTGGCAGAACCTCTTCCAGCTGCTCTCCTACCTCATCCTCAGGCTGGATGATGAGCCAGAGGTCGACTGGGGATTAAACGACTGAGTGCATGTGTGTGACTGTTTGGATAGAATGGTGAAGAGGAGGATATGAAGCTTTGCTGCTGGGTTTGCACAGGTGTTTAAGTGTTGGAAAAGCCCAGTATTTTTCCATACAAAGCACAGGTCAGGTGTTTATGAGCAGCACCTTAAGGTTTCCTCTAGTTTGACATCAAGTTAGCAGTACCACTGTGTCTGTGCCTTAAAATGACTAATTACTAATCAGAAGCACATTATACAATATAGTTATTTATATTACTCAATTAGCTGTACATTACAGTGGTAATAGTTTCTTATAATACCCACATGAACAAACTATAGTTTAGGGCTGCTATGAAATCATTTTCTTTTAATCAATTCAATTAATCTGTTGATTATTCTCTTTATTAGTTAACTAAGATCTATAAAATGTGACACATTTTTTTAAAGGTCCATTACTAATTGTTTCTGTTCAAAGCAACCCATTAAAACAGCTGATCTGGTCTGACCAATATCTCAAACCTTAAAGAAATTCAGTTTGAACAGACACATAATTAGAAGAAGGACATTTGGCTTCATAAATCAACTTCATCTGACTAACTGAAAAGTCAAACACTCATTACAGCCCAAAGCTGTGCATGATAGTTATTCTGGTCTAAAGGGAACAGCCAGTTCAGTTCAGGTCACAATAACTGACAATTCAATAAAGCACTTTTTGGTGAAGTGAGGAACATTACTGTATAAAATATATGTTATTTATAGTGTTTCTCACTGAACAGATACTGTCAGTCGTGTCTGAACTGGATTTCGGGAGCGCCATACAGATGAACGTGTGAACTATGAAAAACAGTGTTGTAGTTACAAAAGCACCTAGAGGGGCTATAACAAGATGTCTCGCTTTGCCCTCGAAGTACGATCAGAGCACTGTGCTGACTGACTTACTGACTGCTATGCGCTGTTTTGTACCAAAGAAGAAATTGCTGTCTCCAACCCTTCCTTTGTGTGGCATTATAGGCCTAAATTATCTGGTGCTGCTTGAGCAGAACTAATCAATATGTACCCTAATGTCGATGCATTTCATAATGCTCTGAACCACTGCACATGTCTGCTCCTCATGGTAGACCTGCATGTGTTTGTGTCTGTCTGTTGTTGTTGTTCTGACATTGTGCTGAATGATGCACGTATGATTCTAATGTCAGTCTTTCTTTCCTCATTCATATTCTGTCCTCATGTTCTGTCTCACTTTAAATCTAGTCTTTGTCTCTATTGTGGTCAAATAAAAATCTTCGGACTTCATGTGTTGCCTTGTCCTCTTTTCATCTCTTTCAACTATTTTTTTTTACCTCCATAACCACACATTTGTTTCATACCCGTTTCCTTCATTGCCACCTTAGTAGAAATTTTACTTTTTTACTAATTTAAGTGTATTCCAAATCCTTTCACTGGTGTCTAACACTGTGTCACAGACAGAAAGTGTGTGTGTAATCAGGTGGTTACCATGGCATCAGACATAAACACTAAATCTCTCTTAACAAGATGTTGTGTGATTACATCCCAGAGAAGCTCACACACACACACACAGAGTGAGAGCAGCATGCTGCAGTACAGTATATGGACACCTCGGTCCATATACCTTTGGTGGGCTGAGGCTATTTTTCACTGTTTATGAAATGTTCTTTCCTATTTATCATAAAATTACCATTGTTGTTAAAAGAGGGGTTCACAGTTTTTTCAAGACTGCCTTAAAACAGTAGTCAGCTGCTGATATAAATACTGAAATATGTCGAGCTTGTTGTACTCATTCCTTTTGTACATACTGGCCATTTAAAAAAATCGTTCCTATTGTGTTTTCAGTGTAAGTGATTAGCGGGCAAAACATACAGTGTGCAAAGTTTATGCAGTTGTTACTGCGAAGCCGTGAGGCTTCAGTAGACAGAATTAGTCAAAGCACATCAGGAAGAGATGTTATAATGACCAGTGGAAAGAGGAGGAATGAAGCAAGGAAACCTCCCTTTTAAATTTCATAAGGGCCCCCGACTGCTGTTTGAAATTAGAAATCTGTCTGATTAAATAAATTATTTTCTGAGTTTTATGTAGAAAAAACCGACCGGCTTGCACTGAACTCTGAGCCTTATCACTCAACATCAGTGCACATTTCCACTGGTGAGTGGGATCAAGTACTCGCAGCCAGGTCCCAAACTCTGTGGAAAGCCTCCACAGAAAATAAGATTCTGTTATAGATGCATTTATGCCTGTTGTTTTGGAATAAGGGTCAACAATCACATGCTGTACTGCATGTGTGTAATGTTCAGGTGTCTACATACTTTTGATTGTGTAGTATATATGCAGTGGTACTCCTCTTTCGTACACCTGCCACCTTTCTTCCACCTCGTACGTTTCAAGTCTGTGTGTGTGTGTGTGTGTGTGTGTGTGTGTGTGTGTCCTTTACAGGCACAGCTAGCCCTAATGGTGAGAGGGGGAGGAAATGGGAAGCAGTTTTTCAGTGTCTGCACTGATGTAGCCATCCTTTGAGAGCAAGAGAAGCAGAGAAGGAGAAATGTGCTTACCCAGCAAAAAAGCAGCATCTGGCGCTGAAGTGCAGTTTCAGCAAGAGCGCTGGTGGCATTCACAGAAGTTCGGTCTGTTTCACAGAAATGTATGAGGGCAGTCTATCTGGCAGGCACACACAGAGCAGGTTGATAGTGCTGACAGCAGGGAAGCATAGCTGCCATCTCTCTGTGTGTAGCTGCTCAGCAGAGGCTTCAGGGTGGCCTTGCTTTGTCCCTTAGAGGCTGGTTAGTTAGACACCTGGGTGTCTGTGTGTGTGGCAGTTGGTGACTGATGGCAGGTCCTGACTGCAGGCTGCTCCGGCTCGTTGGTGTCACACTTGCTCTGACAGCCAAAGCCAACTGTGCTGCAGTGACAGGTAAGCACTTTCCAGGAGTCAACAAAGAACCTGAAGCGAGGGAAAGAAAGTGTCGAGCATGAGTGCGAAAGTTTTTTTTTTTGCCTTGAGATATGGATACTTGTATTTTTATTTGAAATCTATCTCCATGTCGATTGCTCAACATAAAGTTTACTGACTACTAAGGTTTTTTTTCAGAGCCTTGTGTAGCCTGATAAATTCAGGAAGATGCTTTAATTATGAAGATAGTATCAGCCAGACTTTTAAATGTTATGGAGTGTTATTTAAAGGGTAAGGCCAGTTGATGCTATATTAACAGAGACTAAGACTGATACTGAATTGCCAGGACTCACAGTTAAAGAGCCCATGCCATGCTCATTCCAACCCATTTAATATTTTATCTTGGGTACCTCTAGAGTAATTATTTCAGAAAGATAAAACCCGATATCACAAGGACAGCCTCCTCCAGACAACACATAATCAAACAACTTTGACAAATGAGCTGTGTTTTTGACTATGACAGTACCTCAAATCCTACCTGACACGTTCGAGCCATTCAAGGAAAATCCTTAAACTATCATGTAATACTTTCCATTGTTAGAAAAAAGTCTTGGAAGCGAGAGTTTGCGAGGCTTGTATAAACCGAGTTGCTTCTGCACAGAAGTACAATAACATAGGTCCAACTCATGTTTGGGCTTATGGTCACATTTAAGGTGATAATTCACCATTTTAACATTGTAGATAAGTCAGAAAACAAGGAAAAGCACCATGAACTCTTTAATATCCATCAGTGTGTCAGTCCTGGATTAGCTTCTTGGTGCCATAGACCTCCATTGTTCAAAAACGATTGAAAACACATCACTGATGCACTGGGTGACATGTTTCTTCATTAGCAAATACCAGGCCTGAGTGTGGCAAGTAAGGGTAATCTAAACAAAGCAGAGAGCTCGTGCAAGATCTCACACATGTGCAGTTGACTCTGATTCATGCTACCTTCAGGAAATTATGGCCGCTCGAAGCATCTGGGGCAACATAGCCGGGTCTGGGGTTTTGTAATGAAAAAAACATGTCACCCAGTGCAGCAGTGTGTTTCCCTGATGTGTTTTTAATCGTATTTGAATGACAAAGAAGATCTATCTTACAGATGAATAAACTAATCCAGGGCTGACAGCTAACAGACATTAACCATGAGTAGAGGAAATTCACTGTCAGTTTTAGTCTCTGAATGGAAAATGACCAGCCTTAAAGGCTGTTGTGCATACTGATGTATCACATCTGCTGTTCTGTCTTCTGCTACTGGATAATGAACATTAACAATCACTCCCCTGCTGCACTGGGAACTTTGATTCGTCTTGACTAAGTTTGACTGGTGAGGTCAGAAATCCATGTGTTTGCATGGAGAAGTTGTGTTTGTGGTTGGTGGTGAAGCTGTTTGTGAGCTTTTGCTGTGTGAAGATCAAAGGGCCACAGGGCTGCAAGTTAAAAATGAATCTTAGCAGGTTTCACAAGTCATTAAAACACCTCCAGGCACCTGATGTATAACAGCTTTTCTTCCTGCTTGAAAAGAACCATGTGCGTGTTTGTATGAGATATTTTTGGTGTGCGAGTGTTTTTCTGGTGGTGTGTGCCTTGTCTTTGCTGATAGGATCATCAGGCAGCATTGCATGTGTGTGTGTGTGTGTGTGTGTGTGAGATGCCCCACACAGTTTGTGGGTGGCCGCCGTGCTGGCACTGTGGTTAGCTTGGCGATAGTGGTGATACTGGGGCTGGCGCTGGCTGTAGCCAAACTGCGAGAGAGGCGGCAGACGCAGGGAGGTTTCAGTCTGTGGCAACTCGAGGCTCCCGGTGGTCGCAGCCCACCTGCCGAGTTGGGAAACACATCCATCAGCACTTTGGCACCACGCGTGGAGCCCCTGGTGTAGCGTCAGCAGTCAGGAGGGAAGTGTGTGTGTGTGTGTGTGTGAGTTTGTGTAACTGGGAGAAAAAGTGTGGGATGTAGAAATAAACAATGTGCTCTGTGTGAGAGCATCTTTAGAACATTTTCTTGACATTTCTACTAAGCATGTATTTCTCTTTCCCACCTCCCTGCAGCTGACCTCAGAGGGTTTGACCTCTGACCTCCTACTGTCCATCAGTCTGGTGTCTGTTGTCCTGCTGCTTATTCTCATCCTGACCTCTGTCGGCCTGGTGGTGGCACTAAACCGCCGCGCCAGCCATGGCACTTACAGTCCCAGTCGGCAGGAGAAGGAGGGATCGCGGGTGGAGATGTGGAGTATCAGCCAGCCGCCGCCTATGGAGAGACTGATATGAGAGTAATTTAGGAGCTGATACCAGCAATACAGAATACTACATTAGATAACTGACTCAACCTGGACCAAATGTCTGGATCCTGCATGTAAACGTGGTCTTTGCCTCACAGTAGCGCCATCCTACAATTTCAGTTGCCTTTCTTATTTGCATATGCACATGCAGGAAGACTATGAGCACTTGTGACATAATTTTTGTGCAACTGCGTAGGCCAGTGCTTGATCCAACTTCCTGGGATGGTTCACACATGGCTTCACCATCCAGCAGCACATTTGTTTAAATGCAAAAGTCTGAATCTGTCACAGTTTTTCCTTTACTCCATATTATTAGAACGGATGAACCAGTGAGCATCTAAAATCTGTTTTATACACACACAAACTCAGTCATAAAACCTTATCTAGAAACAGGCAGAAAGTCATTTAAATTCATAAGTCCATTGATGTGTATTTATTACAAAAAATATCAGCTTTCTGTGTATTCCATGTCTGTGAGTATGTTGAGTGTTGCTGCCTGTATTGATTTATTGTTTTATTATTAAGTGAACATTCCCACTGCACCTTTCACACTGCAGCTCCTTACAGACAGAATAATGTTGAAGGTTTCAGGACTGGTTGCACTAGTTGAGAATACTTCCTTATTTCTTCTAGCTGATTTGTACATGTTAAAACAAAAGAACTGTCAAGGCTAAGGTGTAATATTAGGTGTATATCCTGTAATTATGATTTGGTTCATCTTTAATTGTTGGTAGCTGAATGGAAAAACCTGCTGGTTAATTAAAGTACATTGATTTGTTTTAATTTATTCAATGTCTACAAAGTGTTACATGTACTATATTTAGATACACTATGATGCTACTGTAAGACAGGATTTATATTTTATTTTAATGCTTGCTTTATCAATAAACATGCGTTCAGTGCCCTTGTTGCTGTGCAGTGCACGTACGGTACTGTGGCAGGCTACACAGCTCTATTTTGCACAGAGACTCAAAAACCAACTAGTAGTCCTGTAGTGAAATACTACCTGGCCCCAGCTTTTCTGTTTGTTATAGTAGTTTGTGGTAATTTGATGTGACAAAACTGTATTTCAGAAAATGGACCATGTGAGGATAAATAAACAAAGGTAATAAAGATGGATTTAGATAAAAAGCCCCAAGATTTCATAATATGTATGTGGGACCCAATTGGTATTGTACCTACTGTGAGTGCTTTAACTTTCCAATTTAATTTGCAAGTAACAAATTTACCAAAAGGCAAATGATACACAGTAAACCTGGGACTTTGGAGGCCCTGGAGTTTTGGTGCCTCGGTGCAGTTGTCCACTTTGTCGGGTTGGAAGTCCACTTTTGGTCATGTGAACTGCAAGTGCAAAACAAACTTTGACTTTTATCAATAAATAAACGACTGACAATAAATTAAACAGTTGTACGCACACAGGGATGCACTAGCATGAAACAGTATAATTTATTTTCAGTTCACAGTGAGCAGTTGCACCAAGTTACTCATCAATAGCACATTAGATTGATCTCAGCTGTTTAAGACAGTTGTTTTCTCTGCAGTGAGAACATGCACATGTGCAACAGAAACAGAAAATCAATAAATGGCAAATTCAAATGTTAATCATCATCATTACAATGCCCAAACAACAGAAGGAGGGAAAAAAAAACATTCAGTGCACTTGTCACTACACTGAAAAGGTCTGTTTATGTGTGGTTTATGGAGGGTGATGCTACTTTCTCTAAAGTCGTACCTGTTTTTTTTACTCATGTTGCAGCTAAAGCTGCCACATAATCTGTCACCGTCCAAATTTGCAATGTTGTGATAATTCTACCAACATATTGTGAGTATTGGGTGTTCTTAATTATCACAAGCCTGCAGACAGTGAAATGTAAATTGCCAAACAGTTTCTTCATGGTTGTACAACATTATTGTAAATGGGACAAGCTTTTGAACTGCCCTCCTTGAACCGCCACCTTATTGTGGTGGAGGGGTTTGAGTACCCGAGTGATCCTAGGAGCTATGTTGTCGGGGGCTATATGTCCCTGGTAGGGTCTCCCAAGGCAAACAGGTCCTGGGTGACGGGTCAGACTAA